TATATCGCAGGTCAGTCGCAGCACTGTGCGGCGAGGCGACCACACTCCGGGCGACCAGAAGGTTTGGGGGGAGCACCTCTGCTACCACCTGCGATGGGCGCGGTAATGGCGACGCTGGCGGCGCGTCCTCGACGTTGGCGACGACGAGCGATGGCGACTCTGCGGCGCGATGCGATGCCACGATCGACGCAACTGCCGACCTCGCGATCCACCTCGCTATCGATCCAAAGAACGATCTCGCCACATCTCGGTCGTGACCGATCTCACTGCCCGTCTCATCATCGAGTGGGGCGCAGGCGGGGCGCCGCGTCGGGGCTCCGCGGGGCGCCGCGGGGCGCCGTTGGGCGCCGCGGGGGACCGCGGGAGACCGCGGGGGCACCGCGGGGCACCGGCCCCGCGGGGCCCCGCGAGACACCAACGAGACACCGCGGCAACGATCCGCGCGACGTCGCCGGGGCAGCGCGGGACACCGCGGCGGGGCGCCCCCGACCGCCGCGCGCCCAATGGAAGGCCGGATTTTTGCATCCGAATCGCCCTAGCGACGGCGGGGCCGCTCTTGCGCGCCCGCGGCGGGGCGCCGCGGGGCGCCGTCGGGGCGCCGCGAGGTTCTGCGGCGGGGCGCCCCCCAGCCACCGCGCGCCCACCAGAGGGGCGGACTTTTGCATCTGGGCCGCCCTGGCGACGGCGGGGCACTTCTACTCGCGCGCCCGCGCAGCTTCGTCTCGCCCGCGCGCGCGACGCGAACGCGCAATCGAAGCCGATCTCCTCGCGGGGGGGCTCTCCGTTCCACTGCGATGCCACCCGTCCAACCTTCGGTGTTCTGCCGCCCCCGAACCTCCTATTCGCTGCGTGTTCGGCGGCTCTAAGTAGGGGCCCCCTCCTAGCCGTGATTCCTGGTGGCCCCTCTCCACTCGTCGGCAGAAGTTGAAATTTGCGTTGCTCGCGAAATACCAATCAATCTGCGCGGCAGCGCGATCCGACCCCCAGATCCCCACCCCCTGCGCCTGCCCCAACACCCCGACGGGCGCGCGGAGCTTCGCCGAGCCGGAGCTTCCTGGAGCGCCCCGCCCGAGACGAGCAGACCCCCAGCTGTAACGGGCCCCCGAAACACCGCTCCATCACAGCGACGCCAAGCTCCCACATGCCCCAGACACAGCTCCGAGGACCCATCGAGCTCGGCCCCCTGCGATTAGACTGCCGCGTGTTATCGCGGTCCCCCGTCCCCGTGGCCCTGCGATGGGGTTTCTTGCAATGTCTCTGCATTATGGCGCAGCTCCGTTGGCGCGCGAACGCGCGCGTGCAAACGAGCGACCCGCGCGCCAGTGCGAGCGGCGGCCTCCTTGGCGCCCGCACAAAATACCACGCAGAACATGTCCCCCGCGTTTGCACCGTCGCTGAAACCCACTATTTCCCCGATGATCGGCTCCGCCACGTGGGGCAATTGCGTGTCCTTTTCGCTCTGCGTTTGCGGAAATCCACATGTCAACGCATGGGTCTACGACATTCGCGAACTTGTCCGGCGCTGCCTCGTCTCCCTTATCGTCGCTGCAACCGCGGGGCACCGCTGCCCAGTCTCCTGCGTCAGATAGCAGAAGACGGAATGCACGCGCATGCTTCTGCCGAAAAAGTAAGGCCCCCTATCCCCGCTGGAATTGATTCGTCAACCACCTTGTTCAGCGCTCACCGACTCGCCGACGCGGAAGCGCTGGCCCGTCAGGAAAAAAAAAGAAAATAATAATAATAATAAAGAAAAACAGCAAAAAAACTCTATCGGATTGAGTCCACGTCTGACGGGATGCCACCGCGCTAATTACACTCGCAACGTGATGTGTTCACGCTCCCGTGCGAATGAATGTGAATCCGTCGGGGCAGCCCGACCCATGTGCTCGTCTCCTCGTTCGCAGTTTTCCAGCACATGCCTTTTTCCATTAAAACCGAGAACGTGAAACAATCGCTCGGGGTTGAAATTGTACTTGAAATTTCATTTCTGCACGCGACATCTAGCGCTAACTGGCCATATACGGCGCGCTTTTACTACACACAAAAACTGGTCAATCCTCTGAAGGAGAAATTCGTGTCTGCCCTCATGCGTTGGTGACGCCAGCGCCATCAACAAATTTGCCCCAGGCGTTGACCAGCTTTGAAGTGTTGTCCGGGCATTGGCCGCTGCCGTCTGGAACTAGCACGTGCGAGACGACCGCCTGCCCGAACCAGATATGGCTGGCCATCTTGTGGGGGGGGGGGCGGTCAACAACCAAAACGCACGCAAAACTATACGTGACATATGGTCGACGACCCACCAAAATATTATTCATGCCACTAATAGCATGGGATGGGCGACTCATTAACAAAACATGCGTCATACCGCTGACATCTGGCCGACTACCCCTGGTAAGATTATTCAGGCCTTTCCAACCTCGTAATTGCTCATCTTGTTTTCTACCAGACTCAGCTCGTCCCCGTACAACGTCAGCCCGCCGATGTTGACCAGCGTGCGCGCGCATATGTTCCCGTCTGGCGTCTGGTTCTCCCGCGACCCACCCTGCGACCCACCCCGCGACCCACCCCGCGACCCACCCCACGACCCACCCCGCGACCCACCCGCGACCCACACGCGACCCGCCCGCGACCCACCCCGCGACCCGCCCGTGGCCCACCCCGCGACTTACCCACGACCCACCCGCGACCCACCTGCGACCCACCCGCGACCCACCCGCGACCCACCCCGCGACCCACCCGCGACCCACCTTCGACCCAAACCACGTTGAAGGTACAAACCACCATTTTCGGCGCCCGCGGCGTTTTTTTTTTTTTGTTTTTTTTTTTTTTGCATTCCTTTCAATTGGAGAGCCCGCGACCAACTCGCGACCAAAACCAGGTTCAGGGTACAAACCATATTTTTCGGCGCCTGCGGCGGGCATGTTTTGCATCCGTTTCAGGTGGAGAGCCCGCGACCCACCCGCGACCACGTTCAGGGTGCAAACCATTTTTTTTCGTGGCTTGCGGCGGACATCTTTTGCATTCGTTCCCGGTGGAAAACCCGCGGCACACCCGCGACCCAAACCACGTTCAGTGTACAAACCAAATGTTTCGGCGCCTGCGGCGGGTTGCTTTCGCATTCCTTCCATGTGGAGGTGGAGAACCCGCGACCTACACGCGACCAGCATTTGCATGCCGCCTGCGCCCGCAACGGCCTCTTCAAGCCCCGCGCATCCCCACCGGCCCGTCCAGCAACTTTGCCCTGGCGAGTTGCCTTGACCAGAGAAGTCGGGGAGCATAAAGTGGAACAAAGGATTGCGTTGCCGCTATCTTGGGGAAGGAGGGGGAGACAAGAAGAGTAAACAGGGGACGAGGAGGACGCGGAAAAAAAGAGGATGTTAGGATAATGTGGAGAAAGAGAAGGAGGATCAGGAGGACGAGGAGGGGGAGGACGGGGAGGAGGGGGAGAAGGAAGAGGACGAGGGGGGGGGGAGGGGAAGGAGGGGGAGAATGATGATGATGGACGACAATGGGAGGAAAATGATTGAGGCCGATGATGGGGGAGGACGACAATGGGAGGACGGTGATGTAAGGGCGAGGGGGGGACAGGGAGGACAAGGAAGAAGAGGAGGAGGACGAGGTGGAGGAGGAGGATGACGATGACGATGCGGACGAGGACGAGGACGAGGAAGAGGAGGAGGAGGAAGAGGAGGAGGAGGAGGATTGCGCCATCGACAGGGAAGATGGGGGGCTCGACGACGCCCGCGTCGCCCGCGCCCGCCCCCACACTCTTATCCGCAATTGCGGGGTGCTCGTAGTTCAGTTTCATCATGAAAACCTCCTGTCATAATCTCCTTGGCCTCCACTCCTCGGTCGGGTCCTGGCAGCCCCATGTGCGTGATCCATTCCTCGATCGTGGGCACCCGTGCAACTGTAATCTGGACACGGATCTTCTTCGGGCCCACTCTGGTTCCAGCAATCAATTCGAACAACACCACACGTGATGTCAATCATGTCTAACTTGTGCCTCCTAACGTTCAGCGGCCCACTCATCTCTCATTCGTCAACAATCACGTCGTCGAGATCGTCGGACGCACGTGCGTCACACAAGTCGTTCGGTTACTCATGTCCTCTGCCACTTCGTCCACGTCATGAAAATTGGTTCGGAAATCCTGGTGGTTATGGCACGTTGTGGTGGGTGTGCTTTCCTCAGCGCACCGTGTTCGACTTTCTCTCGAGCTACGTCGTTGCGCCTTCTATCACGCCTCTCTGCAGCAAATCCCAATATGAGTCAATACCTCCATTCCTCTGGCATTACTTCGCGCGCCTCCAAGAATTGTGGTTGTACCGCCCACTGGTCCAGCTTGCCGGTCCAGCTTGCCGATGTCCTCGTCATAGTCAACACCTTCCCATCAGGAACTCATCAACTGATTAGGACCCCAAACAAAACTGTTCGCGCGATCGGCTCGTCATCATACCAAATTCGGGTGGCAGTTTCCATCGCGACAGATGCATGATTTGCATTTCCTTTGGAGTTGGAGTTGGGGTTGCCGATCTGTTCAGCGCCATACTCGAAGAGAGCGCATCTGAGCCAACACGGACTTCAGATTTCAATTCTAGTCAAAGATTGTCGTTCTCGATCCTTTGACAAATGTCGGACCGTAGCCGATCTGGTGTGTGGATATTCTTTTTCCACCTCCCATGGGATCGATCGATTCACTGCAAGATCCCCCGAACTTCTGGAGCCCACTGTGAAAGTTACCGTCCATCAACGAAGGCGGGAGGAGAGGAAGAGCAGGAAAAGGAGGATCACGAAGAGCAGGCGAAGGGGCGGCAGGGCTGGGCGGAGGCCGGGGAGGGAGGGCGTGCCGGCGAGAAGAGCGGGAGGGGCACGAGGGGGGAGGCGGGCAAAGGACGGGGGGTCGGGCAAGGGGAGCAGCAGCAGGACGAGGGCTGCACCAGAGGGAGAGGACGAGGAAGTCGAGGAGCGCCTCGGAGGTCGGCCATGTTTGCCGCACCCCCTATCGGGCCCTTGCGCGTGCAGCATTCGACAGCGGGCGCTCGTGGCGCCGGCCCGAGAGATCGGGCTCTGCGGTGCCTATTGGGCTCTGAGCGGCGACAGCACGCTGGGGGCGGGCCCACCCCGTCCTCCCCCTTTTTAGGTCCTCCCCCATCTCTCACTCCCATCCTCCCTGCTCCTCCCTCCTCCCTCTCCCCCTCCTTCCTCTTCCCTTCTCCCTCCTCCCTCCTCCCTGCTCCCTCCTCTCACCTCCCTCCTTAGTCAGCGCTCATCCTCCTCCTCCTTCTCCGCCTCCGCCTCAACTCGCCTACTCCTCCTGCTCTTGCTGCTCCTCCTTGTCCTCCTGACTCTGTTCTTCTTCTTCTTCTGTTTCCTTCTCCTCCTCCTCCTCCTCTTCGGGGATGGACAGAACACCCCGTTGCCAAAACGCCCTTCGCGCAGGCCCGCAAACTCTCCAGCCGCGCCGTCTCGAGAACCGAAACACGGTCATTAGATGATAGACTTGACAAGGTTCGGGCGCGCAAACATGGATTAGCGATCCAGGCGCGCGGTCGCCACATCCATGGATCGGGGGAGGTGCCCTCCCCAAAATGCGGCCGGTGCCGCCTCGCTCGGCGGCAGAAATCCGCGATTCCCCATGGAAAGGGGACCCGTCGCTAATACACGCCACCCTGACCCATGCTTGCGATCGCCTGCAGGGTGGGGGCCTCTCAACCTCCAGGCACACCCGGCCACTGCCAGCACAGGAACCTCTGAGGCTCCGCGGGTTTGGAGGACTCCATCGGGCGCCGCGGCCGCTCCAGAGCGCCCTGGGACGCTCCCGATGACTGCTCCGGAACGCCATCTTTGGCCGTCTTGGGCCCCTCTTTGGGCCGTCTTGGAACCCTCTTGGGCCGTCCTGGGGCCCTTGTAGGGACTTCTTGGGCAGTTTCGGGGCGGTCTACGGGGCCTCTTGCCGTCTTGGAGCGTCGGAAGCTCGAGAAGACGATGACATCAGAAACAATGAACAACCTCAGGAAAACCATTGATTTTTCCCTCTCGGGGCCTTCTTGGGAAGGCTCTTAGGGCGTCTCGAGCAGATGGGGTCGAAGGATCTCGCTGCATCACCGATGCATCGGCGATGCATTGGCGATGCACAGGCGACGTCGGCGATGCATCAGCGCCGTCGGCGTGTGGAACATCGGGCTCCACATCGAGCCGCATCGGCGATGCGTCGGCGATGCTGCGCGATCCTCCGACCCCATCTAATCCGACCACATCTAGGGGGCGTAGAACCTACTTATGTTCGTGTCCTGCGGCTGCGCGTTTCACCGTCGAGCCCGCTCCCGCATCTCCCCCGCTACAGTCGGGGCGTTGACCAGAGGAACCCTAAATAAGGAACGAGGCCCCTTTTTCCAATAAGTTAAACTTCGATTCCCCATCGAAAACCTAAGGACAACCTAAGGCAAACTGCGAAACATTAAGGAACACGGAGCCCCTCCCCAACGAAAAGGGTTCCTTGTTTAGCGCCTCGACTGTATGCCTCACAACCGTCCCTTAGAGTTCCCGCCGCCGCTCTTCCCTCGGGCGCACGCTGACATGGATCACGGATCCGCGGACCTGGGAAGGTGCCTCCCGATACAGGAAGCCAACGAAGTCTGCTCTGGCAACGGAGCGCACAGATTCTTCGCGACAGCGGGACCCGCCAGTAATTCACGCGCCCGAATCCATATCTGCGTTTCATCGACTCCCTTCCCTCGTCTCCCCCCAGCCTCCCCGTGCCGGGGCCTCTCCCCCTGCCAGGGGAGGGCGAGAAGGGGTGCGACGAGGAGGCATCTGGATCTGGGAGGGGCAGAAGCGAGAGCGGGCGAGGGGGGATGCACCGAAGAGCCAAATTTCCCGGGCTGGCGTGGCTGTGCAAACCCACTTCTGGTGCCCAAATCTCCGACGATCTGACCGGGCGTTCTTGACAGTTTTCGGCCGGTTGGGCTCATCCTCAAGTCTTCGTTAACGGGCGAAGAACGGTATAAAATAAACTTTTTCGCCGTCGGGGGCGCCTGTCCCAGGGCGGCTAGAAAGTTTATACCCTTACGGTGGCACCGTAGGGGTATAAACTTTCCAGCCGCCCAGGGACAGGCGCCCCCGACAGCGAAAAAGTTTATTTTATACCGTTCTTCGCTCGCTGACTTAGGGCCATCAAACAAGGATCTGGGGAAGGGATCGGTGCCTCTGGGGGCAATCGTGGACGAAAAACCTACGTATCCGTGTTCGCGGTCTCACGGGCCGGATGCGGGGGGCAGTTCTTCGCGGATGCCCCGCGCGGAGTCCAGACCGCGTATCTGCGCGACCGCATATCCTCGGGAGCGGCCAAGAGGGGGGTGTCCAAGAGGGGGGGGTGCAAATCATGACCGGCGGCATGTGCGCGGCCCAGCGGGGGGGCCAGGGACGTAATGAAATAAGAAGAGGCGCCATGAAATCTGCGGAAATATCATGGCCCCCGCCATGATATCCACGCCCCCCTAGTCATCACCCCCCTCTTTTCCGCCCCCGATAGCCGCAGGATCGCGCCGCACAGTCCAGACCGCGAGGGCGCGGATGCGGACATGTCCGCGGCTCGTGAGGCAAGGTGGTGGACAAATCAAATCGTCGGATGTCTGGGTGCCTGGTGTCGTGCATAGAGGGGCCGCGCTGGCGTGGCATTATCACAGCATCTCCAGCAGGTCGCCGTAGGCCTCGCGCGGCGGCAGCGGGTGCAGGTGGCGGTACTGCTACGGAAGGGGGGCCCTGTGCTGCTGTGTGCCGCCTGTGCTGTTTTTGTCGTCGATGGTGCTGCTGACCAAGATTTCCAAGGCTCCGAATAAATTGCAACTGTCAATGTATGCCCGTTTTCGGCCTCAGGAGGCCATGAACGGGCCCGAGAACCGTCAAACAACTGCTCAGGACCTACTTGATTGAATGTTGTTTTGTCCTACACGTTGAAGAATTTATCAGTCGTTTTATACCTTACAACACTTGAGCGTATTTATACATAAGCTGGAGTCGACTTGTATGAAGACATATGGATTGAGCGCGCCCGTTGTGTTACAAGAGGGGGGATCGGGTTTTGAGTTAGCGAAAAGTCCCTGTTTGAGCTTCCCTGCAATTTCCCTATAAGCCCCTAATTCCAATCATGTCCCGGCAATTTCCCTATAATTCCCGCCTGCTCCAACTAATGATTATGGGCGTCAGTCGTACTCGGTCTTGCATGGTTAGCCTATATTCCTATACTACACGTACTCTATAGAGGGGGTGGGGCTACAGGAAAACCACACCCATGGACCTCAAAGACCTACGGGATCCCGGGGGAGCCACGGGAGGAGCCACTGGAGGAGGCACGGGAGGAGGCACGGGCGGAGGCACGGGCGGAGGCCTTCGAAGCTCTCGCCTGCTCCAGCTGCTGAGGAGGGCCCTCACCAGGGGGCCTCGTCGGGCCCTCGGAGTCCCCAGGGTCCCGAGGAGAGGGCTCGGAAGAGGTGGATGAGGAGGAGGAGGAGGAGGAGGAGGAGGAGGAGGAGGAAGAGGAGGAAGAGGAGGAGTAGGAGAAGGTCCGGAATTAACGGGAACTACCGTCCAGGCATTAGAAGGGAAAATTTCCCAGGAGGTCCCGGGAGGTGGGGGCCTTCCCGGGAGTTCGTTGTGATTGTTTTGTTGTGATTGTTTTAATCCGTATAAGTATCGGGAAATTATCGGGAAGAGTTCCCGGGAGGTGGGGCCCCGGGAGGTCCCCAGGAGGTCCGTAAATTCTGGACGATAATCCCCGAACCCTTGGACGGTAATCCCCAGCAATGAAAATCATGTGGGGCGAGGGGTGGGGGAGCTCGGGTTGCTCTCCTGCAGTTGCGCCTCGCCGAGAGCCTTCCAGAGGCGCCCCGGACGGCCGCCCGAGGCCCGAGGAGGATCCAGGCCCCGCCCCCCTCGGGCGCCAGGCTGACGAGTCCCTCGAGACCGAGCTTGACAGGGTTATCGACGATATCTCTCCTCCTCCTCCTCCTCCTCATCCTCCTCCTCCTCCTGGTCCTCCGTCTCTTCCTGTATGCGAACGCACCCACTGGGGCCTTGGAGTCGAACAGTAACAAATACCAAACATACGAGACAATTAACGGGAATACCAAACAATTAACGGGAATACATGACAAAATAATTAACGGGAAGACGAGACAATTAACGGGAAGACAAGACATTCAAAGGGAATACAAGACAATTAACGGGAAGAGTTAAGGGGAAGGGAATAAAAGGGACATGAATTCAGCTCAAAACCCGATCCCCCCTAGTAACACAACGGGCGCGCTCAACTGATGGGCCATACAATGGAAATACTCTAAATTAAACCACACATCTGTTGGAACGCCATCCAGGTGAACAGAAAATATGTCCGTCAGGATTTGCGATAACACTACCTCGTCGTCGATCTCAAAAATATGTTGGCACGGATTCCGGACAACGTCTACAGGACAAAGACATAAATGACACGTTGCACTGACAACATGTTTTTGGACTCAATGCCTGGCAGCACAATACAACTGCACGCGCACCCGTCACATCAGACTCGAAAGCCACATGCGGCGCGCAAACTGCAACTCACTACTGCATGCCAAGACATGGCTCTGTCCTGAGGCGACACGAGCCCCATTCTTCCCGCTCGGGGAGGAATTCATCACTTTTCCCTATCTATAAGCACGCCCTCCCCCAGGCGACCAGCAGCCAAACAGAACCAATGACAACCCCCCCAACCATCCCTGCCAAGAGACAATACAACATACACTTCGTGACAACTTCTGATGTCATGCTCGCGGGCCTCGCAAGTAATTTGTACTGTTCCCAGACATCCTGTGATGTTGCGTCCTCGTTTTGAAGAAACAGCGCCCCGCGTTCCTCCCTCCTCCTCCTCCTCCTTCACCTGCTCCTTCACCTCCTCCTCTTCCTCCTCCTCCTCCTGCCCCTCCCTCACCCCATTCCAGCCTCTGCTCTCCCGCATCAGTCTACCATGTCTGGCCTCATAGGTAGCTCCACCGAAGGTCGCACTGCTACTAACTGCGTGAGGCCCCCCCACCCAGTACAGCGTTTAGTGGCCCTATAGGGAGCTCCACCGGAGGTCCCAGTGCTACTGCCCGCATGCGTCCCCAGCACCCAGTACAGCGCTTCGCGGCCCCATACGGAGCTCCACCGAAGGCCTCAGTGCTACCGTCCGAATGTGTCCCCACACTGAGTACAGCGATTCGCGGCCCTGTAAGGAGCTCCACCGAAGGCACCGGCGGTACCGCCCGCATGCGCCCTCCCCTCCCATGTATAGCATTCGTGGCCTCATAGGTAGCTCCACCGACGGCCCCGATGGCACCGTCCGCATGCGTCTCCCCCACCCAGTACAGAGTTTCGTGTTCCCATTGGGAGCTCCACCTAAGGCGCCAGGGACACCGTCCACATGCGACTCCCCCTCCCAATCTACCGTTTCGTGGCCCGAAAAGGAGCTCCACCGAAGGCCTCAGTGGCACCGTCCATATGCGTCTCCCCCACCCAGTACACAGCTTCGTGGCCTCATAGGTAGCTCCACCGACGACCAAAGTGCAACCGCCCGCATGCGTCTCCCCCACCCAGTACAGCGTTTCGTGGCCCATAGGGAGCGCCAACGAAGGCCCCAGTGGCAAAGTCCACACGCGTCTCCCCCCCCCAGTACTAGTACAGCGTTTCGTGGCCCATAGGGAGCTCCAACGGAGACGACTCCCACAAATCCGGTACTCATAACTGCATATGGTTGGGTCCTTCGCCATGCAAATGTTTTGACAGGGGCGGCGGAAAGGGGTTATCATATTGCCTGCTGAGCGCAGGTCCACCCCCGTGTCAACAAGCAATTCAAAATGAAAATCGCGACCAAATCTGGATGTGGCGCACCTGGCGCGGCCGGAGCATGCGGCACACCTGGCGCACTTGGAGCACGTGGCGAATCTGGCGCGCCAGGCGTGCTGGGCACGCTTGTGCCCCAGGAGTGCCTGGCGCACCTGGCACACGTGGCGCCCCTGGCACTTCCCAGTCGCAGTCCATCCATAGACGACCGCTGAAAACGCTGAGGCTCGGATGTTATTATGTGTTGGGAGGGCGTGTGGGCGTAAGCAAGACAGCTTGCAGGCGGGGAGGGTGTCTTGAACCCTTCTCCTCCCCTTCCCCCTGGAACTGGACGGGGGGTTTCACGACCCACTGGAGCGTGATGGCTTCGGCGAGAATCATTGGTTTTACCTAGGTGTTTGGCCCTTGTGGGATTGATGGGTGGAGGATGCAATTTCCTATCCATCCGTTCTTTGATCGATCTCCTCCAAGATGGCCCCAGCGATGGCCCCCGAGGCTCTCAAGCGAGCTCCAAGGGGCGCCCAGGAGGCCCCAAGAGGCCACCAACAGGTCCCCAAGAGAACCCTAAGAGACCCCTAAGAGGCTCGAAAAAGCTACCCGACACCGAAGACGCGCTACGAGGCTCCCAGGACTGCCAAGAGGCCCACAGGACGCTCCAAAAGGACTCACAAAGTTTTCAAGAGACATCTTAAGAGACTCCGAGAGGCATCGAAGAGGCCTCTTGCCATTCTGCTCGCCCTCCTCCTCCTCCTCCTCCTCCTCCTCGTCATCCTCTTCTTCCTTCTCTTCCTCCTCCTCGTCATCCTCCTCTTTCTCATCCGCTTTTCATCCTCGTCCCTCCTCCGTCCCCCCCCCTCTCCCCCTCCCCGTCCTCCTCCGGTTTCTCCTGCATCCTCCCCCCGGGGGGTCTGACGGCTTCCCAAACCCACGCTTCCACTGCCTGCTCCTACCCATCCCGAATCAAAGCAATTCGCATGGGTATCGTTTGTGGTTACGCGAAGCGTCTAGAATTTTCATACAGAGTTTCGGTATGGGTTGTGATGATTGTGCCAGTCGCAAAAGAAGTCCTGAGGGCAACGCGACGGCTCCGAAATGGCTCCCAGAGGATCAGATGGCCAAACGGCGTTGAATAATCAACAATCAAGAATCACACATGCGCAGTGACTAAACGCAACGTCGCTGCCCTCCCAACTGCGTATGGGCATGCAGGTAGCTTTTCCATGCGTACTCCTCTCTGTTGCGCTGCGCACCCAATTGTTTTTCTTCGTCCGTCGGTCTGTGCAAACAAGCCGCAGTACGAGGATCACAGCTGCCATTGTCGAGGCATCAAGACGACTAAGTGGGTGCGGCTGCCCTCAAATCCCATGAGCAAGCACAAGAGCATCCGCGCGCCCCAACTTTGATCCGCCTGTTGCTCCTTTGGCATGGCAACGATGAAGAACGCAGTACGGCAGTTCGTGTCGTGGCGACTTGCGTGGTGGCGCCTGGCACCGCGCGGACCGTTCAACCTGACACTACCTCGGCTCTCCGATCGCGCAAGATCGCGATTCCGGGTGACCGGCGGCGTTCAACCTTGAACGCCCCCGCGGGATCAACCAGTGGTCAACACGAAAGATAGATGTCTCCTGGATGGGGTCGGAGTAGGCGGGGTCGGAGGATCGGGCCGCATCGCCGATACATCGGCGATGCATCGTCGACGCGGGCCATGCATCGGCGGCGTCCGCGTGAAGCAAATCGAGCTCCACATCGAACTGTATCGGCAATGAATCGGCGATGCGGCCCGATCCTCCGACCCCACCTACTCCGACCGAGCGAGCGAGCGACATCGAACAAGAGTCCAAGCACGGACCCCTGCTGCGCGCGAGAGAAGAGGGACTCGGGCCAACTTCCTGACTTAGCAGTCAGCCCGAGCCCCTGGGAGCGTCTCCCTCTCTAGGGGATCGGCCCTCGGCCCGCACGGGGCCACTCCACCATGCAGGCAAGGCACTTGGGCCTGGCCCAATTCCGCCACGGGCGGCTCTCCCCGCGCAGCCCGCAGCAACCTCTGGACGAGTCGGGCCCGCCTCGCCTCGTCGGACTCGGGCGCCAGCGCCGAGGCTTCTCCCCCACCCCCGTCCGACGACGACGTCACGACCCCACCACCACCTCCTCCACACGGCCTCGCCTCCTCAGCAGCGAGCCGTGGAGGCACGCTAGGAGCTCCACTCCTGACTGCAGCTCCACGAATGAACGAACCACCACTGCGGACAGCTGTCCGGGCCTGCTCGAGACCTGGTGGAGGAGGCCGTAGCCTCTTCAACCCTGTACCTACACGCGAGATCATGCCTATGGACAGCGAGACAATAAAAATCTACACGGAGGAGGGGAGGAGGGAAGTCCTGGATGTGGATGTCGGCGTAGTTGCCGATCGAGTGTCGACCAAGTGGTGGTGTCTTTGGCCGTGCGAATCTAGGTGAAGTCGTTGGGTTGACCTTTTGTAGTCGGTGTGGGCGTTGGATGCTGGTCGGGGTTGTTTGTTGGAGGAACTTGATGAAGTCGTCTTCCCATCTAGGAGGCCTAGACAAGAACAACTCCCCCGACCTCATGTGGTCTCCAGGCGTGTGACACCTCCCGCCTAAAATCCCCCCCACATGGTCCAAAATTGGACAATTGCGCGCTAGATGGGCTTCGGACAACATGTGCGTGATCGCCCAGAGTAAATGGCCGCCGGAACGGGCCCATCCCGGGCGAGACCCGCCCGTCCGTTTAGGCGCCCATTGACATGGACGCCCCATGCAAATGTCTTGTCGAGCGGGCCAACCCCCGTGCGACCCGTTGCGTGCACGATTACAAGAAGGATATTTGTTAACCACCAAGCATCATTTTCAATGGCATCACCACCATCATCATCATCACGCTCCTCATCAACAGCACCTGTGACGGCCGTGCTTAGAAATACCTTTTGTGACGGCCTTGCAAAAGGATGCCATTTAAGGCAGGCTTGCAAAAACAAATCATCTTGTAGCAACCTTTGCAAAAAGTGCCCCTTTTGTGGCGACCTTACCATGGATGTTAGGTGTGAGGGTCTGCAGTTGCCTCCACACTTGAAATCCTTATGTAACGCCGTCACAAAAGAGTTCCTTGCGTGGCGATCTTTACACAATTATTCTAACTGTCGGGGATCAGCTGTGGCATCCACACTTAGAATCCTTGTGTAGAAGCATGTATAAGGGGTTCCCTTCTGTGGCGGCCTTGCAAAGGGGTTTCAACTGCGGGGGGTCAGCAGTGGCGGCACGGTGAGCCCAGGAGAGCCAGGAAGGAACACGGGGACAACAGAAACAACAGGACAGAAAGGACAACATAATCAAAATGACAACAGAAAGGACAAAAAGGACAACAGAAACAAAAGGACAACAGGGACAACAGGGACAACATATACAACAGGGACAACAGAACCAACAGGACAAAGCCTGTGTTTCACAGTGACAGGAACGAGCTGGGAAACATATGTAACGGTCGCTATGTTGATGGTGAAGACCCCTATACTTAATTCCTTTTGCAGCAGCCTTTACTAAAAGGATTCCTTGTGGCGGTCATAACAAGAAAGGGTTCATCTTGTGGGGATCTGCTGTGATTTTCACAATGCAACTCCTTTTGTATTAGCCTGTACAAGGCAATTCCTGTTATGGCGGCCTTACAACAAGGATTTCAATTGTTGGGGATCTGCAGCGGCGGCACCTTGATCCCAGGAAAACAAAATCTGAAAACAGGACAATCCGGTGTAACAGAGCTGTGGACTCGGAAGGGCAACTGGGAACACGCTAGGATTGCCTGTGACTGTGACTGTCTCTACGTGTTGTATCAGCAACATAGCAAAACAAACCAGGTTTCCTTGAATTGTGCTTCGATCTCCACATGATTCCTGTTTCCGCGGTTCATGGCGCCGCCAACAGCGTTCACCACAATTGAAATCCATGTGACACGCTCCACAATGAAATGCAATGTGTAAACGCCCACAAGTTGAGCCAACTTGATTCCCATTTGCAAATTGACTTCGCTTGTACAATTCCCCCCAAAAAAGATAACACCCTGGAGGCAGCGAAACCTTCTACCACGAACGCATGGAAACCCCATTCTAAACAATCAACTACCTTTACTTGCACAAAGGGAATTCGGAAAACACTCACAGAAACATATGCATGTCCTTGGTGTTATGTCTTGTGTAAGTACTAATAGCGACCGTCTCAAGTTCTATGTAGTTGCACTTCCTCTGATCCTGAGTGGGGTTCTTGCGTTTCCTGGGCACGCCGCGCAGCATCAGGAACCCACCCGCATCAGCACCATCATCATCATCAGCATCATCAGCATCCTCCTCCCCCTCATCATCACAACCATCACAACCAGCATCTGTCATGCCACTACATCATCCTCACCATCATCGCAACCATGAACGGCATCGCAATTATCATCATCAGCATCGTCAACATGGCCCACCACCATCCACATCACGACCACCATCCCATCAAAATCATCGACCATCAACATCGTCATCACTCACTTACTCTTCAACCCACTCCAATTCACTCACCACCCACTCACTCATCAGAATGTCTGGAGCCAACCGCTACCATCCGCCATCATTATCATCGTCGACGCCATCACCATCGCACACAACCAACGTCATCACCATCCCGCCATGTTCATCGCCCAAAAGGGCGCCCCGTCTGTGTGAATTGCGAGGAAGTCTCAAGCGGGAGCCCCCTCCCTACGGGGCAAACACTTCACGTTCGAATCCGACGCGAATCATCGGAGCCCTGGAACCGTCGTCACGTGTTGGCCCCTCAGGCCTGAATCTAGCGGAAGTCTCGTGCGAGAACCCCGTCTGTGAATGAGTTGCGGGGAAATCTCACCCCATCGCACATGCCCCCCCTGCCTCCATGTTTGAACCCGAAGTGGGTCATCGAAACCCTATAGCTGCCGTCACTTGTGGGCTCCTCTGGCCTGCATATGGAGGAAGTTTCGGGCGGGAGCCTCGTCTGTGAGTGAATCGCGAGCAAGTTTGACGCGGGAAACTCCTTTTTGTTGGGCCCCAATCTCACGCTCGAGTCCGAACGGGGTCATCACAAACCTGCAACTGTCGTCATGTTTGGGCTCCTATGGCATGAATATGGGGAAGACCTCGAGCGTGGGTTTCGTCTGTGAATGAATCGCGGGGGGGATTATCAGGTAGGACCCCCTCCTTATGAGGCCCCCACCTCCACGTTCGGATCCTAACGGGGTCATCGGAAACCTTTAACTGTCGTCGCTCTTGGCATCCTCAGGCTTGAACCTAGGGGACGTCTAGAGCGGAAACCTCGTCTGTGAGTGATAACCTCTCTATGGGGTCCCAGCTTCCATGCTCGGATCCGAACGGGGCACGTTTGGTCTCATCAGGCCTGGTTCGTGTGGATGTATAGGACGGGGTATTCGTCTGTGAGTGACTCGCGCTCGCGCTCGGCCCAGGGCATCCAACTTCTGGGAGTTGGAAGCTCGAGCTGGCATGCTGCAGGCACTCACGGGCAACTCCCTCGAGCCATCTGGGGAGGACGGGGAGAAGGGAGAGGAGGAGGAACATGAATCCAAGAGGACGACGGCTACGGGGCGGGGTGATTGCGCGAGCAGTGGGGGTGACAGCTCACTGCGAACATAAGACCCTTGATTCACATAGACTGCGCCACGTCAAAATCGTCACAGAAACGCTCCTGTATGAAAAACTACGTGATGGGATGTGACACGCCCGGACTTAACGACCCCCCTTCGCGCATTACAATGTACATCCGACTCCGCCCCTACCGCCCATCCCAACAATAAATTCGCATCACGTCACCCAAAAGCACCCCCCCCTACACTTTGCGAAATATACCAGCCGCGCGAACTTGAACCGGACGAAGTGAGCTCGCGCGCGCATGCCCGAATCTGGCAAACAACCGTAGGCTTCGGAAGGGTACCAACCATTTAGCACCCCGGCATCATAGAAGACCCGCTTCTCAACAAAAAGTTTCAAAAACAGCTTGCGCACGGGCGCTTGCGGACCCTTACAAACACCATAAATGACGTTCCAACGTGTTCATAGCGCTCCACCTGACGGGCCTCTCGCGCGCGCGTCGAAATCTCAAAAACGCCCTTGCGCGCGTGCTGCCGCGAGAACCCCTTGCTAAAAAAAACGAAGTGCACGCGCGAGCGTCATCGCGGGCGCATGCCGAAATCATTTCGGAAATGCCCGGCGTCGTGAAGATATCAAAATCTAGCGCTCCAAACCCACATGGTCTCGCAAAGTGTATTTCTTGGTTGTATAAAAAAGTGTGTTCGCAGCCTTGCGACGTCTGCATAATAAGTTGGATATGTGGAGAATGCCAATTCGGCAAGAAGGGCCTCTCGCACGACATGTCAATATCAATCGAACGCGAGGGGGGGAGCGCGGGGCGCAATCCGATTCAAGTAATACCACGCGTGCCACTCTCGCGCGTCGGCCGCGCGCGCGTGTCGAACGTAAACTTGTATGATATAGATGGCGCCGCTTCGATTGCACCACACAGGCTGCACCACAACTCTTGCATATCAAATGTTGCACCACGTAAACTGTTCCAAAATTATTGCACAACACGAACTGTCCAACGTCTAGTGCGCAAAAACGCTTCGCGGCTAGTGCTGCGCGGAACGGATTCATCCTCATATTTTACACATAAATTGCACAGCATGGGCTGCATCGCATCTACTGCACAACATATATAAGACCATGCAGCCCAGATTGTGCCCTCTCTGCTGCACCACGTGAACTGCACCACGCACTTTCTCTTAACAGACTGTCTCACACGGATTCCACCATATAGATTGCACAACACACGCTGCCCATCGAACGTTGCGAAACGTGGGTCCACACCATACATCGCATCGCAAATATTGCACCGTTGACACCACACCACATAGGAGGGCATACGTTGTCGCTACGAACAAAATTGCGTTGGGCCCACGATGGCAAACATCCTCTATACAACAAGTACGTCACGGGTATGTGCATACGCGCGTACATCCAGAATCACATGTTTATTGGTGCTGTTGCATTTATATGGCCTCATTACCTTTTTGAGTTGCTGCGAAACTGGCGACATAGACCCCTCAGTGTGTGTATCGATATGTATGTACATACGTATATGAAAGGAGGTGCGTGAATGGGTATATGTAAATGTACCCCGGGCATTTGGATACTTCCCCTTCCAGCACAGTCGGGGATGGACAAACCACCCTTTAGCAAAACGTGGTTTAGTGAAAACGACTTGAAGCCCAAAGCTGGCGGGCGCAAGCCAAAAAAATAATGGCCACGGCGCCCTCTCGAGAACCGAAAACGGACAATTCACTAATCGACGTGTCATTGTTGGGGGTTGTGTCCACCC